TAAGTTGAGGAGGCTTTAAAGAAAACTAAGGGTAGAAAGTCTGTAGGACCTGATGATATCCTAATTGAAGTGTGGAAATATTTAAGAGATTTGGGAGTTTCATGGCTTACTAAACTCTTTAATGTTATTTTAAAAACTAAAAAGATGCACAAAGAGTAGAGGAAAGTATTTTGGTCTCCATTTTTAAGAATAAAGGGGATGCACAAGAGTGTGCAAATTATAGATGAATTGAGTTGATGTGTCATACTTTAAAATTGTGGGGGAGGGTAATTGAACATAGGTTAATACATATTACAAAGATTTTTCATAGTCAAATTGGTTTTATGTCGGGCAGGTCTAGCATGGAAGCTATACATTTATTGAGAGGTTTAATGGAGAAGTTCAGAGATAATAAAGAGGATCTACATTTGATTTTTTATTGATTTAGAAAAAGCTTACGATAAGGTTCCAAGAGAGGTCCTTTGGAGCGTTCTTGAAAGAAAGGTGTTGATAGGACTTATATTCAAGTCATTAAAGATATGTATACTAGAGTTGTTACTTGTGTTTGAACTGAAGGAGGATTGACCAAATATTTTCCTATTTATGTTGAATTACATTAGGGATCGGCTTTAAGTCCATATATTTTTGCTTTAGTTATGGATGGTCTTACTGGATATTTACAGAAGGAAGTACCTTGGTGTATACTTTTTACTGATGATATCCTTCTCGTGGATAAGACAAAAGAAAAAACACAGGAAAAACTTGAATTATGGAGTTATACATTGGAGTCTAAAGGCCTTCATTTGAATAGAACTAAAACTGTATACATGGAATGTAATTTTAGTTGTAGTAGCTTTGGTGACAGAAGTGTAAGTTTGTGTGATCAAATTATGAAAATGTGTGAAAAATTTATATATCCCGGGTCTGTTGTTCATAGCGATGGTGATATAGATAGGAATGTTAATAGTAGAGTTCAAGTTGGTTGGTTGAAATGGAGGAATGCTTCGGGCATTTTGTGTGATAGAAAAGCATGGCTTAGACTGAAAGGAAATTTTCATAAGAGGGTGGTGGACTTGCAATTCTCTATGGCGCTGAATATTGGCCTTTAAAAGAGAAGAATAATACTAAGTTAAGTGTTGTCGAGATGAGAATGATTAGGTGTATGAGTGGCTTTATACTTAGAGACAAAATGCGAAATGAATATATCTGGGATAGGGTTGGCGTAGCTCCAATGACAGACAAAATTAGAGAGAGTCGTCTTAGATGATTTGGTCACATTAAACGTCGACCATCTGATGATCCTATTAGAAGAGTAGATTTTTTAGATTCGACTTATGTTAAGAAAGGCAGAGGTAGACCTAGGAAGACTTGGGCTTTTTGTATAAAAAATGATCTTAATTTATTAGAACTAAATGAAAATATGACACTAAATAGGACTCAAAGAGAAAAAGGATTCATGTATCCGACCCCACGTAGTGGGATTAAGGCTTTGTTGTTGTTCTTTTTGTTTTTCATTGGAGATATTATACGCCCATGCCCGAGACAGGTAAAATAGAAATAAATATATATCATTTTAATAAATGATGTTCATGACAAAGTTGCGTCAAGTCCATCAAATAAATATTCTTGCTTTCTTATATTACTCTTTATTATACAAGGGCAATATTATAATTTTATTTTTTATAATATAATTTAGTTTGGAAAGCCATGTATAACCTGCAGTAGTACAAGTTGGATAAAATTATAAGGCCGACTTGGTTGGGGGAGATCTGACTGCTC